AAAGGGATCCTAATTTCGAGAACTACCCATATAGAACCCTTATGATCCCTTTAGGGAACCCCAAAAAAGGGACCCTAAGATAGAGAACTACCCATGTCTCGGCCAGCAGGCTCGTAGTCACGCAGGCCCGCCAGAATCTCCGCATCGAAGACTGTCGTCATCTCCGTATCCTTCAAACAGGAGTTCGGTAAGTGCAACCGCTAAGTCATGTGTTAAAGGCTGCCAGATTTGTGCATATTTTTCGAGGCACACGAAATTGTGGAATGGATATAAGGACCTTAATAATTAGAATAGGGTTTTGGGGCCCATTATACTATAGTTATAGTGAGGACCCCCCAAAAAAAAATAGTATTGGTAATTATGTAGGCCCCTACATTCTCTTGAGAGCATGTGCCCTCTTTCGGCGGCATTTGCCAAGTCCTCGAACTCCGACAAGCCGTGGTCATATGTTCGCACCTGCAGTGTTCGAAGGCAATGTAGGGGCCTTAGTAATTAGAATAGGGTTTTGTGGTATTGTTCTACTATGATTATACTTAGAGGCCCAGTGGATTTAGTAAGTAAGTTATAAATGGAGTTATAAGTACCCTAAATGGAGTTACCCCAAATAGAACCCTACTTATAGCCGACTTACTAAGTCCCCTGGGCCTCCAAGTAATAAGGAACCCCCAACATAGTATATGTAATTATTAAGGCCACTATATTAGGTGCTGCCGCGGTCTATTATGCTTGTACAGTCTGAAGCATATTTCTGGGAGTTTCGACGTGGCTAGACATGGTCTTCGTCTGCACTGTATCTCAGTGCTTCACATAAGCATCCTAAATGCATCTATGTGCACTATTGTCGTTTCTGCTTGCGGTTCTCGGGTCGTGTTGGTGCGACGGGTATTGGTGTTTGTTGGGCAAATGTTGTTACAGTCCTTGTCACTGCAATTGTGTGTGTGTGTGTGTTTGTGGTGGGTATTGTGGATCTTGTTGCTACTGTTGCTGTTGCTGTTTGAAACGTTGGCTGTTGCATTTGTTATCGCTGTTGCTGTCATTATTGTCGTTGTTGTTGTAGTTGCCAACGTTAGTACACGTTCATGTACACGTGAATGCATGTGTGTGCGCGCGCCCGAATACACACATAAAGAAAGAGGCATCTGGTTAGTGTTACTACAGTTTATTTCAATATCCACAGCATTTACAAAGGACAACTCACTTGTACAACATTCTTAGGCTACTAAGACAATCAACTCACAAGCCGAATAAACAGCTGCGGTACTTTTTAACCTCCAAACTGTCGAAGATGACACACCTGCGAGCCTTGAGCTCAACCAAAGAAAGCTGTGTAGGTAAGCACAAGCAGAGCCTAAGAATCCGAAACGCTAAATCAACACTCAAAACGCGGAACCTTATTCCTGTAGACCCTAACGCTCATAAACCCTGTAAGCCCTAACTCTCAACAATAAGCCCTAAACCCTCAGCCTTAAACTGAAAACCCTAGAGCTTGTAGTATAAAGCCTATAAGCCCTTAACTGTCAACCTCCACTCGAACCCCGTGAACGCTAAACTTTCAACCTTGATACGTTACACCGTTACACCCTGAACCCTAAACCCTAAACCCTACTGTACTACACCCTGAACCTTTTCTGGGGCAAGTGCCATCGACTTTGAGTCAGCGTCCATCACGCACTCACGCAGGTCCGTTAACAAAGCCGCAAGCTCAGGGTAGACCTGGGCTATCGTTCAGGGCTTCGAATTTAGGGTTTAGGGTTTAGGGCTTAGAGAATATGGGGGCCTGAACAATTGGGAGTTGGGGTATACTCGACTATAACTACTTATCATACCATGTCACTTATTCCGACTCCTATGTTAAATTGTACTGTCTGGAGCTTAATCAATGGGGGTGACATGCCCCAAAAAATCTTAGCTGCAGGAAAGCCGTCGCGTCTGCGAAAGCTTGATCGCTGCTTGTGGTGTCCTGGCCACCGCAGCGACGGTATGGTTGCGCTTGGACGGTGTTGGAAGTCGCGACTGCCATGTCATCTGAAGACCAAAATAGGGGCCTTCACCGTCGGTGCTTACCCCCCGGTTTTCATGGTTGGTACCCCTAAGCGACTATGATAGTGCAGCGAGGAAGCTGTGCTGAACGCATTGTCATGGTCGACGTCGTCAGCCAAAACCACAATAGCCTGCGCAAGACGCTATAGCAACAGCTGAAGTTCATTCCATGGCTCCATGGAAGGAACCACTAATGTGACCTCTTACTTGAATCCCCTGTCCATCGCTAATGCAGGCTTGTTATGTAGCTCGCATGGCATGGTTAGCAGCTTCCGGGCGAGTCCAGGGCGAGATGGAAAGCTCCGGCTAGTCTCCGGTTCTCTATCTGTAAATTACACCCGCCCATCATGTCGGAGTCATGCTGTCGAAACTGAGTCTTATCCAACAGATTAGGCTGTTCTCAGTACGGCTATAATATAATTGTAAGGAGTGCAACTAGCATGTGGTAAAAAATGCCTATACTCCCACTTCAGAGCCTTGCAGTCTTTTAATAAGCACCTACGGCGGCACTGTAAAGTCCGGACACACCTTAAACAATGGACCGACAACCCTGATCGAACAAAAATAGGCCCCTATACTCAACCCTTATCTGGGTTGGCCTTTAAACCCTCTGAAAAATATGTATACAAAGGGTCTCTTATAAACCCAGATAAGGAAAATACAAAAATGTCCCAAAAACAACCTAGTTATAGTCATCCTTTGTGTTAAAGGACTTCGTGAGACTGCTTCGGCTTGCCTCCGGGTCCATCTCCGACTCCTTCCGGGGCACAGTCAGCTAAGGCTTTAAGGCTTTAGGGTTTAGGGTTAAGGCTTTAGGGCCTGAACTTCTGTCTCTTAAGGCGAAAGAGAGTTTTGAGAGGCTTAGGACTAGGGCCCAGAGATTGAATGGTCGGTCCGGGAGTTGCTGACTTCACTAACACCTATCTTCATAAAAGCACACGGCACGCTTGTATGCAAGCTTTACATGCACAAAGGGGCCAACCCCGCTCAACATGATGGACAGCGTAGTTGGCAAGCTGGCCAGTTTAGGGTTTAGGGTTTAGCATGGTTGAGCACGCTTCTCAAAGCAACAATCGCATGTACCTTCCGATTGGACTGTTGTGTAGCAATGGGCCCTTTTGGATTGGTGGGTTCAGTCGGACTGGACCGGTTTCATGGGGTTCGTAAGCTCGGTGTGGGAATGTACAGAGTTGTCGTGGGGTTCAATGTCTACAGCAAATGCTTCCAAACACACTGAAAGAAGGAAGGGTCCGCAATGCCTGCAGGGTACAATTCCAGGCTGCCGCCCGTCGAAAAACGACATGATGATGAGGAGGAGGAGGAACAAGAGCAGGATGATGACCGATGACGATGCTGATGATATTGCTGATGATACTGATGGTGATATTTTTTTGATGATGAGAAATCCTTTCAGCTTGGCCTTAGTTAAGCCCCGAACCCTTGAGTCCTGAACCCTGGATCCTCTGTCCTCCGGCAGCTCCATCTCCAAAGGAGCCGGAGGGACGCCGTCGGACCTCATGCGAACGCTGTCTCAAGCTAGCGTTCAGCTTTTTTCTTATGGGTTTAAGGTTTATAGGGCTTAGGTTTTTTGTTTAAACGTTTTTTTTTGCCTTCTTGACTTCTGATAGACTCTTGCACATCCAGCATTTTGTGGCAGTGCATCACTTGTCTTCGCCCACCACACGAGAACCTCCTAGCCCCAAATTGACCACTCGAGTCGGTGTCAAGGGCTTGCGGCGCCCTCCCCAAAACTAGATCTACATGTACATAATTTCTTATACTATATACACTCCATATACTTTATATGTACTGTATGTATTTTATGAACTCTATATATATATATATATAGATATATATATATATATATAGATATTTATATATTGCTAAATAAGCAAACGCTCAGAGCTCAGGGCTTCAGCAGCCGTAACCTTGTGGCGTAGCGGGCACTGTCCTGCCGAATGCTCCTGGTCTAACCGCGTTAAGCGCACAAGATGCTTAGCACACATTGCATCCATCGTTAATTAGTAAAGTAGGGCTTAGGGGTTAATAAGGGTGGAGTACCGACCATTCAACCATGACGGCCTGAACATTCACAGTCCGGAGGTGTTGGCAAACTACAACTGTCCAACCCATCGCCTTCATTACTCAGAGCCTGTTAAATGTGAGAGCCAATAGCAACACGAAGGCTCCCCCAACAAAAGTACTATTTCAGTGGGTTCAAAACATCCACGCTTACTAGATACTGATCCCTCAACCATGTCCAGTCAAGGAGTCAAGGTGCAGGGAGGTGCTGCCAGATGTATCAGAGCTTTCGGTCCTGGGAGGGCATATGTAGGAAAAAACCACACCAAACGAGTATCATGAACCCTGCAAAACACCAAGACCCCAGTCTAAACCCAAAACCCTAAACCGAGTCGCTGCTGTTACATTTCGAAACACTGACTCGGGGGTTTCCGAACATTAGGGTACCTTATTTTGGGGTCCTTATAATAAGGATCCTATTATTTAGGGTACTATATTAGGGTCCCCTATTTTCGGAAACCCCCACTCCTAAACAACCAATTCGCTGAGCAGCTCTGATGTGAGAGGATCTGCAAAGTGCACGGCCCTTTCGAAGCTGGCAACCTGCAGCAACAGGGAGAGGGTTTAGGGTTTAGGGTTCAGGGTTTAGGGTTCAGGGTTTAGGGTTTAGGGTTCAGGGTTTAGGGTTCAGGGTTTAGGGTTTAGGGTTTAGGGCCGCCGACCAAGATGTGTAAACACGTTGGACTATTGCTTACAAATGGACACAAGCACCGGAATGTATCAGCTTAAGTGTTTTCCCGAAAAAAACTTCCTACAGGTTAACCTCGGGGCTGTAGCATTGCCGGGCTGAGTTTCAGTGGCCCCTCCAGACATTCCTTCCAAAACACAGCTTTCTGCAGCTAGGCGCTTGTAGTGGGGCAGTGTGCTGACCACCACGCCGCCACTGCAAACGAGTGTCACCATGGCGCGTGGCCTGATCCTCACAGAAGAGTTCAAGCCACAAAGTATGACTAGTAATAGTAGTAGTAGTAGTAGTAGTAGTAGTAGTAGTGATAGTAATACGAATAGCAATAGTAACAGTGATCGTAATAGCAATAGTAGCATAAATAGTAAACAAAACAATAGTAGTCAGTGTAAGCGTGAGAGTAAGAGCAAAAGTAATCTTATGTGTTTCCGTTTCGGCAGAAGTTGTCGACCGGCTAGGATCAAATCTCCGGGAACAAGTGCGACAACTACGACACATTCCAATGAAAGCTGACTCTGCACGAACGACCATAAGGCCAATATGGGAACCATGTCCCAGTGCAGATGCCACAGGCCGCATGCGCTTCCAACGAAAACCCAGAAACCTGACATTTGCTGCCGAATCCGGGAATGGCACCGCTCTTGGCATTGAGGGAGTCCGGCAGCACATCACCGGCGGTCTGCCACGGAACGGGTTTAGGGTTTAGGGTTTAGGGTTTCGACTCTCACACTCGCACAAGGCCGGCAAGGCTCCGCATGGTTCTGTCTCAGGGTTTAGGGTTTAGGGTTTGCTTGAAATGCCGAGGTAGGCTCCATGCACGAACGCCGACAGCTCAGCACACTACCCGATCGAAAAGCAACTTACCCAGAGCAACTCACAAATAAGTCTGCTTGCAATTCTTATGACAAACAACCAACTTTAGTGTAGATACGTGAGTGAAATCGAGATGGATATGATCTGTGTGTGAGGCCTTCTGCATGCAGGGCTCCATTCCACACAACGAAAACCTTATCTATCTTCTATGGTTCTCATGCTTAAGATTGCTAAAGCAAACCTTGCAAGAGCCCTAAACCCTAAACCAAAAACATGGCCTGGGCTCCGGAATCGCAGGCAACTGATGCCACTGCTGCCGCAAGAGCTCCTATGGTCCGGGACCAGAATAACATAGTCAGATGTGTAAAGGTATACACAGGGAAATTGAAACATAATGTGCAGATACATGTTTGTGTATATGTATGTACACATAATATATATATATATATACACACACACCAAATATGCGTACATACACTAAGTGCACGTGCATGTATATTCGCGAATACGAGTATACAGATATGCACATAGTTTCATGCAGCGCACGCAGAGATACATACGGCTTCCGTCTATTTTCCTCGGATATACTAACGCCATTCTGCTTGCATGTGCAGTTGGATGTTTGAGAGTTGGGGATTTGGAGGGTTGGCAGGGATGAAAGCAGATGAACGCATTATGCAGCCTGAAGGGGCCTTGGAGGCTGATTGCCAAACCTAATGTAGGGGCCTTAATGCCTTAATATTTAGACTAGGGTTTTGGGGGTTCTTTATTATGACTACAGTATAACGGCGCCCAACACCCTATTATTAAGGCCTCTATATTAATGAAGATGAGTCCTGGGTCTTGATCAACGCGTGGCGACGACGACGCCGATGGCCTGGGAAGGGAAGTGGCAGCAGCTTCGCCGATTGTAATCAAGCACCAGCTTCGAAGTGGAGATAGGGGTATGTGTCAAGCACAAGATAGGTTAAACCCTAAACCCTAAACCCTAAACCCTATAAGTGTAACAGCGCGCTTTCCACCAACACCTAAAGCCCGAAGGAAGCACGACTCGCAAGTGAACAACTTCCGATGTCTCCACCCTAAACCAAAATGCGTGAACGGCTTAGGACTTAGCGAGCTGGCTCAACACCAAAGATACCGTAACGTGATGACCACCAGCAGATACCATCATCCACCGATCTCTGGGTATCTTGTATTCATCTGTCGCACATTTGCAAGCCCTGTGCACACGAGCCTGTTGCCAGGCCGAAGTACTCTAGCTCGCAAACTTTGCCATGATGGATCTTGACCTTAGGGCTGTTTCTTACGAGGCTTGCCGAGGGTTTTCAAGCTGGGATATGGAGAGTTTAGGGGTTTATGGGCGGGATTGCTCACTGTCAGATCCTCAGAAGCTTCAGTGGCTTTAGCCTTCGAGTACCTTTGGCATCGGCTCGTTTGCGGAACAGCTTTTGTTCGGCGATCTAACAATATAATACGCATAGCACGAAGAAGAACAATAATGACTACTCAGGACTACCATAATGACAGATTATGACACTGATAAAGATACGAATAAGAATAAGACCAAGACTACAGATACAAACAATAATACAACAAATAGTAAGTGAGAATGACAACTATATAGCCACGAGCAATAACAATAACATTAATAACATAAAGAAGGTTAACATGACCAAGCAAGATTGTTCATCTAGCAAAAGGACACTGGCAATGCCGACTTCTGCTTGCGCTGGATCCTTTTCTCCGAACAAAACCCTTCCGGTTCTTTCTGCCCTCGCTAGGTTTACTGATGCCGTTACACCTTGTTGCTTTATGGAGCTCTATAACACCTGAACATACGTATGTGTATAGGTGCATGCAAAATCATGTGTGCAACCATCTATCTTTACTTCTTGGCTCGTCTACTTGGCGGTTGAGGTGTAAATTCATGTGTTTGCGTGTTGTCGGTCTTGTGAGTATTGCTATTGCTATGACAATCACTCGCACCATTGCTGCTATTCCTAACTACTTACTACTACTTACTATTGCCAAACTGCAACTACCGCCCGTCCGACCCTATACCTTCATGTTTCACTCAAAAGCCCGTGAGCCAAGACCCGGAACTCCAAACCGAAAAAACAAAAACCTGAAACCCCTGAATCCAATTACCCCAAAGCCATGAACCCCGACCTAAACCCTGAAACCCCAACTCAAGAATCGTATTTGCACCATTCCCAAAGGCAAAAAGCCGCCCAGTTCGGAGGCGAGTTGCGACCTCCGCGTGCACCCACTCGCCAGAGGATCGATGGTAGAAAACCTTCTGTCCCACCTCCCAGGCTTAGCGTTTAGGGTCCCACCTCCCGGGATGGAGGGCTAAAGGTAGAGGGGCAGCAGGGGAAAGGGCGACTGTTTAGGGTCTGCCGAGGTGACGGAGCTTTGCATTCAGGCTACTGGTCTTTCGGGATAGACGCTTTCATCGACAAGTTTGGGAGTTTCACGGCTTGCGGAGAGCAGACTTGAGGCCGCCGTCCCTGTGCGGGCGTCATGTCTCAAAGGGTCAGAGAATGGGTGTCGGGGGCGTGTTCTGAAAGGAGGTCCACTTAATGGTACCTGCTTTCTATCGCTGTGTATCGCGGCCTTGACACAAGGGCTCTGAGCGGGACCATGACTTGTAACAAGCTTTAGGATGCCACGTGTTACGGTTAGAGGTTACGGTCTAGGGAAGTGCAGGGTTTTAGGGTTCAGGGCTCAGGGGTTCGAGGGTGTAGCGTCCCATCTCTTAGCTTCCAGCGGCCGTGGGCCTCGAAGTGCATGCCGTAAGCTGGCATGGCGCGCAGGGATTCTACGAAAGCAAGGATAGTATGAGAACAACACTCCCTAAACCCTAAACCCTAAACCCTAAACCCCGAACCCTAATAAGAGCTTCGGTACTTTAGCTCTGAATCTCCGACCGACGAAGAGCATAAGTGAGCCATTAAAACTTAGCGGATGTGGCATGGGATTAGGGTAGATAGAATTATAAGTTGTAAGTCTGCAAGGTTTATCAGGCTTTTCCTAAAGCCTGAACCCTATAAGCCTCAGCCCCACAACTATTCTGCCATACCTCAAACCCTACGCTCTCAAATCCAAACCCGGTACCCCAAATCCTAAACCGGTCTTACACGATTTAGGGTCGCGTTGACCTCCCCTAAACCCAAAACTCCAAACCCTTAAACCCTAAAAGAAACCTAACCCCGAACACCTTAAACCCTAAAGCCCTAAACCCTATATGCTAAACCCTAAACCCAATGCCCCCTAAACCCTAAACCCTAAATCCCTAAACTTCACTAACCGATTGGGCACCGGGCTGGAAGGGCGAGGCGTCCAAGAAGAAAGCTCCAGCTTTGGGTTTTAAGGCTTACTAGCTCATGCCTGGGATAGGGTTTAGGGTTTAGGGTTTGGGGTTTAGGGTTTATTTTTAAAGTGTAGTGGCCTTTTCGTCTGAGCAAACCTGCCTCGGATTGAGGCTTACACTGTCAGGACAATCCTCCTCTCTGGTTTAGGGTTTGGGGTTTAGGGATTCGATTCCTTTGTGGAGTTTAAGTATCCGTAAAAAAGCAAACGGTTACCCAACTATGACGGAGCTTAGGGTTCAGGGTTCAAGGCTTATAGTGTTTAAAGCTTTTCGGGCGAAAGTTCTAGGGCCTAGGGTTTAGGGTTTTGGGTATACCTTAAGAACCCAAAACCCACTTTTTTGTAGGTTCTTATTATAAACCCTAATATGGGATTTATAGGGACCCTACAAAAAAAGGTAGGTTTTGGGTTCTTAAGGTAAGGCTTCTAAGCGCCTCGGCCTCAAGGATTAGGGTCTGGGGTTATGTAGGGACTCAAGCTCATGAGGGGGTTTAGGGTTTAGGGTTTAGGGGTTTAGGGTTTTAGGGGTTTAGGGTTTAGGGTTTAGGGTTTTGAGGAACCCCTAACATAAAGAAACCCCGGACTACAAAATAGGCCCCTGCCTCCACGGAAACCTGCAACATTTCTCCTGCTGCGCGCATTTATCGCGTCGAAGCCAAGATATAGCGAGGTGGTTGCGGACTGCAGACTTTGCGCCTTTAAGGGGCAAAGTCCCTCCCATATGTATCATCTTGTGATTCCCATCGATTCTTGGATTGCTCAGGCCTGCTTGCCAAACTCCTGTCTGCCGTCGCCAAAGTCAACCACACCCCTCCGTCGACTGCTGCCCGTGCCATGTGCAGTCGAGCCTCCACGCTCAGGCCCAGCAAGGAGCTCAAAGACAGCCTTGGGCTCGACCCAAAAAGGCTAGAATCTTGATTTTACGATTGTGACGGAGCTCTCCTTCACATACTCTTCGTGACCGTCTGAGAAGCGAACGGTCACTTTTGTATAGTCCCGCTCGTGGAAGTGAAGCTGGATTAGGCCCAGTCGGCCGTGGTAGGGAGACGACTTGTGGTTCAAGCGCACACGCTGGCCCACCAGCAAGCGCCTGGATGTGCTCGCCGATGTGCTGAACAGAGCTTCGCCTATCTTTCGGAGACAGGGCGGCTCATACCACAGCTGAAAGCCTCCATCAAAGCAAACTCGAATCCCATTGGTTGGGTGCAAGAGGTCCACGACACCAAATTGATTGCAAAAGTCGTCCATATATCCAAAATAATCATCCCGGTTCGCAGCATCAAGTCCAGCCATGACGGCTCTCTTCTCTCGCACTTGCACAATGCAGTCCAGCTCAAATGACTCCAGGGAAAGCGAGTCTGGGATCGATCCACCGCCAAAGAAAGAAGTGGTCTTCTCCAGGAATTCTGGGCGAATCAGTTCCTCTTCCTGCCCTGCATATCGCACCAAAACTTTGTCGTCTGATGGCTGGTGACGCAGGAAGACGGTTCCTACTTTCCCCTGCCATTCCGAATGTCCCGAGCCCCCATTGACACGAACCTTCTGCCCGGAGAAAAATCGCACATCGGTCATGTCATCTCGTGGTGGCGGTACACCTACATGATGTAGGCAAATAGGCTCCAGCCACCGAATAGGCTCCACTCCATCGGACGAAGCAGTACATAGCTTTACGCCAATACCGTTCGTGGCATGCCTGCGCACAACTACGCCAACCTGCTCTTCGAGGTCCTTGGTCTCGAGTTCTGTGAGGTCCAGCCTGTTTGCAACTTCGAAAGCTCGGAGCAACTCGAGAGCAGATTTGATTCGCACATTACACCCGAGCGGAAATCTTGACAAACTCACAGGCAGCGACAACGTCAATGAGTTCGCTTGGCGATTAGTGGCCCCGAATCTCAGGATTTCACGAGGGAAGCAGTAGCATGACAAAACGTGCAACTGCAGTTCAATACCAGGTATGTCAAGCATCGCCCCATGGCTTGCGGGAATCATAGTCCGTCTGGAAATCAGTATAAAGCACCGTAGGGCGACAGGTCCGTTGGTTCCTGGGATACCGTTACAAGTCGAACCACTTGACATCCCAATGGCCCTATGCTACACATGAAGTGCAAAAGGATGCTCTGTGAACTTTTCTATCGACTTCAGGTCCTGAGAGAAGAGGCCACGGCGTGGAAGCTGAATGAGAGCCTGCGGTGCGTTAAACCAGAACTAGCCGGGGAAGCTCGGACCCGACTCATCGCTTACACAAGGTTGCCTGTAGAGGACGGAGGACTTCGTGCCCTTTGGCAGCATGCTTGTTACCCATCATGGGGACTTTGATTGCCTCGGCTCCCTCCGACGTTACTGAGCAGGAATTAGCCAAGTCCAGAAGAGGCTCTACTTAGTTGGTGGGTTCGCCCTGGTAGTGGTGCAGTAGAAGCCGTTGTCGTCGTCGCGGTTGTGGCGGTGGTAGTAGCAGTGGTAGTGGTAGTGGTAGTGGTGGTGGTAGTGGTAGTGGTAGCAGTGGTAGCAGTAGTAGTAGTAGTAGTAGTAGTAGTAGTAGTAGCAGCGGCAGCAGCGGCAGCAGCAGCAGTAGCAGTAGCAGTAGTAGTAGTAGTAGTAGTAGTAGTAGTAGTACTAGTAGCAGGAGTAGTAGTAGTAGTAGTAGTAGTAGTAGTAGTAGCAGGAGTAGTAGTAGTAGCAGCAGCAGCAGGAGGAGGAGGAGTAGTAGTAGTTATTGTCATTAGTAGTGGTAGTGGTAGTGG